ACAGAAGGCCATATTCAACAACTCAGTCTACTGAAATGGACTTGAAAGATCTTGGTATGAAGTCTAGGTGTATGCTTTTGTTAAAGTTTGGCCTTTGAGAACAGATCTCTCCATTAAGAGAGAGTAGATGGCAAAACGTATGAAAATCATGGACTGCTGACTTAATGCCAAAAAAAAGCTAAATGAGGAGGCTGCAGGCAGCTGATTAAAACTGATGAGCAAAGCTAAGTTTGCTATCTACATGCATAGCTATTTTGAAGGATGAAATGAAGGGAGGTATAGTAATTCAGTGATCTTTTAGCAGCATTGGTCCACCTCAGCTGGTGCCCAGTTGCAGCAGTCCATCCATGGAAAGAACTTATGCCATGCTTTCTGCAAACCACTAACTCAGAGTACCCAGGGGCAACTGCAGAAAGACAGAATGAGAAAGGCACTGAGATCAGACATCTTGCTGCATGCTGCAGCTTGGAACAGTGGACACACAGGCACGGCTGGCTCATCCCCCAGCCCAGACACCTGCTTTCCACTCATCTGATGTCCTTCAAATGCCCTCTAGTGGCTGTGGCTCTGCCTGGGGGCCATGTCCCCCTGGTGCAGCTGGAGGAAAAGAGCACTTTGCATGCGCATAAAGCATAACCTGAAAGCACTGGTGGAAAATGGCTGGTGCTCACTGGTAGCCCTTCCCCATTTCTGGTGCTGCTACACAAAAGCAGCATCCAATAGTGCAGCTCTCTGCTCCACTAAGCAGAAGAACTAGGTTGGGAAGGAACTGACATTCCAACACTGACAGAGGCTCTGTAGGACCTCCATGTGTTCGCACAAAGTGAATTGTTGTTTTAAAGACTACTGCCTGAGGGGAAATTTTCTCTTCTGAATCTCTGTGTAAAAGGAGACATAGCACTCCAGGCACCAGGGAAGGAGACTAGGCTCCCCAAGACAACATGGTCAGGATCCACTGAGTAAAGGATCCTGATATAAACATCAGTGGGGTCTGCCAAGACTGAAAAAAGTCTTTGGACAATGAGGTTCTATTGCTGAAGGTCCTAAACAGTAACTGGGGAATCTGCTTGGTGAAGAAATTAAAGAAACTCAAGACACACTATGAGCTGCATGTTTACTTAGGGGAGTCAGATGGAACAGCAACAAGACCCTGTCCCTGTCATCAGGAAGCATAAGGCTGGTTTCTTAGGTGTCTAATATGCCTGTGAAGTTTGCACTTTCAGGTGAGGGCTTTGTCTGACCTGAATCTTAAGGTTTTAAGGAGCATACTGGCTTGGCTTCTGCTGCAGAAGATCATGAGAAGTCAAATGGCTGTGACAATGAGCATCAACACAATTGACGTGGAGGCCGAAAATCACTCTGATATTCTTTCCAGATTTCTTTATATTTTTCTAGGATTTTGTCCTCTTATTACTATGGAGATGCTACTTTTTCTTTTCAGCTGCTATTTTTGCTTTCCAAGCCAGTATTCACTGCCTGCTCCATGGTTGGCCCTTGCTTAGATAACCTTTGGGAGCAACACAGCTACTCCTTGGTGTGTCTGTGACTGCAGAGTGTTTCTGAAATGCTGGGTTTGGCATTGCTAGCTTCTCATACCTGCTGCAGACCTACCTAAATTATTTCTCAAGTACTTTCAAACTTGTGTGTGAAGAAAGAGAGTTACAGTAATACTGCTTCACATCCTGGTTCTCTGCAGCTATATTAAGAGTGTAAGGTATTTGGGGCAGGGATCACCTTCTAGGGCATTGGTTCAGCTTGACATGTGCTGCATTGACAGTGCTGCAATGACATCCAGGAGACCTAATATTTTACTGCCCAGAAAAGCAGAGAGGGAAAAAAAGCACTGCATCCTTATGGGAAGACTGCCCTGATCTATTCTGTGTGTGGATGTGCAAATTACAACAGATGATGCACTTAGCAATTATGTTCTTTGCATACATAAGCAGGAACAACAGCTCCCAAACTGCCAATATCTCTCTCGATTCTCACCAAATGGCTGCATGTCACATGGTCACACAGCAAGGGGGATCAAGGAAATGAGAGGAAAGAATGACAGAGGAAGAAGCTTCAAATGGGTAGATACATGCCTCTCAAATTAACTGCATCTTTTTTTAAAATGACTGTGCATCTTTTTTTAAAATGACTGAAATTCACCTGCTCTTCAGCTCTTTTCTTCTTTGAAGTAGTTTGTTTTGAGCATTTTAAGCTCTCTCTGAAAGGACAAAAGTGTCTTCAGCTACCCATACCTTAGAGTGCACAGCCTGAACCTGTCTGTGTGGTGGGCTGCTTCTACAATCAAATCAATTTTCTGCCCTTCCCTCTCTGTTGCCTGGATCTTCACATAAAAGAAGAACACCCCCCCCCTCCTTCCCAATCCCCCCAGTAAAAATCTAAAATCCCACCCAAACCAAATAACCAAACAAAAAACCTCCAAACCCAATACAAACAAAGTCCCAACACAAACAACTGAAATAAAAGGTAACACATTCTTCTCACAGACCACTTTCTGACAATTTCTGTGATTCATACCATGTTCTGAATTACACCTCTCTGCTTATACAGGAACCATGGCAGACAGGAGCACTAGGGCAGAAGATGTTACCCTTTCCCATGTTGTCTGTATTTTGAGCACTTCCTACAAGCTCTCAGAAAGAGAGAAAGTGTAAGAGCTCTGTGTGTCTTTTAAAGAGCTCTGTGTGTCTTTTAGGACCTCTGAGGCTGGCTTCTCCTAGCAAAGAGTTACTCCTGCCCTTAGAAAGCTTCACACTGACATGCTGATGGAAGGAAGACTGCAATTTCTACAAGTGTTGATAACCAGATAATGTTTTACATCACCTGCCACACAGTCTTCCCTGAATCATGGAGTCTGCTGTCTTTTCTGCTTTTCTGCAGACTTCAGGAGAAAGAAACTCTCAACTTGATCTGCATATGAAAAAAGGTTGAGACCTCCAAACTCAGACATTTGGAAGATGACATAATTTGACGTGAGTCAGCATGATTGGCAGGTTGACGCATAATGCTGGCTCTTGCAGCTCAAAAGTGCCTGGTAAATTGGTGGAACTGTGAAGCTCACCATGTTGTAGTCTGTGAGGCGCATTTCTTGATATTCCCTCTTTGTACAGTACCCAGAACAGTTATTTGACAGTTCAGATTATTCAGACCACATCAGGGCTGAGGAAAGGTGGAAGAAGACAGAAATGGAGGTGGCCTGATCCTCTGACAGGTAGCCAATAAAACAATGACACCAGGTGTGAAGTCACTTAGAGTGAGCTTTTGAAATAACACAGCCTGTTGGACAGTGCTAAGCTCTGTTTAAAAACTGGGACAGAATTTTTGCAATGGAAACAGCTGGATACTGAGTGCTTTTAAAAATCTGGCTCTTGTTTAGCTGCCTCCATGGGAACTGAGCTTAACTGAAAACCTGGCCCTGACTGGGCATGCTGAGCACTTTAAAATGGGCCCTTCTGGTCTTTAGAAATTTCAGCTGATGGCATTCTGCAAATAGCTGAGATTTCCTTTCTGAAGTACTACTGTTCTGTGTTCCATGTTTTTTGTTGTTGCTTTCTTTTTCAGCTGACACAAATGTCAGTGCCTGCCAGTCTGTTCCAGGCTTTGTAAGCTTGTGCAGTTACAGCCTGCTAATTCCTTTGCTTTCATGCCAAAAGCCAGAAGTAGCTATCCATCACCTTGCTATTTGCTGCTTTTGAATCCCAGCCTGAGTGAGTGTGTGAATCCTTCAGCCTGAGTCCAGAGTAATGCTAAAATTCAAGCCTCATCTATGGGAGGAACACTGACCATCAAAAGGCTCAGCCAAATCTTGGGGCCCTGTTGTACTCATAATTGTGCAAATAAAGCTTGTATGTTCCCTGCAGAATAAACAGACAATACTGACATGCAACAGCAAGAGAAACAGAAGGTATGAAGTGTTGAAGCCACTTAAATAAGAGTGCACAAACCATGCATAGCCAAGGTGGGAAGAATATTAGATCCTATTTCTATCATTGTGTTTCAAAAACACAGCTGGACAAGTGCTTAGTACATACCACCAGCTATGAGGACCCAGTGAAGGGTTATTAATAATTCCTGATAACGAGATGGGGGATTTCAAATATAGGCAGAGAACCAAACCGTATGTAAAAGTCTCTTATGGGGCTGCACCCAGTTATTCAGCATGGGTGGCTGCCAGTTGACAAGTGAGCTGTTTTCATAGCTTGCTGTGATGCTCTCACAGGAATGTGAGAGGTGTCTGGAGAGCATATCTCCAACACTCATGTCAGCTACACTCTGTTGGGAAGTGGTGATTGGTGCAGAGTAGTACATTTGTGTTCTTGGATGCTCTTGCCTGTAGCATGGGGACATGTAGGCACCAGCAGTGCTAGCTACATGATTATGGTGTGACTTCAGGGCATGGTATAAAATCCATGGAAACAAGCTGTCAAGTGTTTTCAGCAGTCTCGTTCCAAAGGGCCAAGGCAATGCAGCAGGCAGAAGGCCAAATCTGTCTTCCCATGAAACCCTGCTTTTTGTACAGGCAAGGAGTCACTTACTATTTCTTGAAGTTGAAGAGTGATGGTAAACAGAGCCTCAATGCCAGCTGGAGTGTATGCAGATAATTCTGCTTTCATATGAAAGGTATGAGGCTGGACTGAACCACTTGACTCTCTGGGTAGAGGACAAATCTTCCTGCTGCTAACTTCCTGTTGGCTGTTGGCTTCCTGCATCTGAAAATGTCTCCTTCTGGGCAGTAAAGTGGCAAAAAACAGGAGAGATACTCCTCCTGCTCTCCCTGAATCTGTGAATGTCTTGCTGCACTTCTTGGGTCTGTTCAGAAGACAGCAGCCAGCTTCTGCTCACCCCATACCTAAACAGACTCCATTCCTGTGGTAACACTGTCTTCACATTTGCATGCAAAGTATGATTTTTCTCTGCACTGTTTAGATTGGCTATTATGTGGTAAAATCATTCTGTCAGGGTAGGAGAGTAAAGGAGGAAAATCCTACCTTGTTTTTTTGCTTCTGCTGTCTGAATACTGATTGGGTTTCTAAAAAAAAAAAAAAACAAAAACAAGAGAGACACAGAGCGAGAGAAAGTTTGTGACAGAAACAGGAGAGGGAGGACCAGCATTGATTGCTGCCAGGGAAAAGAGCCTTTTGTTGGCTAAACTTCATAATGAATTACACACTCTTCTTCCCACATTAAAGACCATACTGTCTTTTGATGTTATGCCTGTGACCACAAAGTCGAGTGCAGATGTCTCTCCTTCTCTTCTCTCTGAGTGATAGCAAGGACAGGCTGCACTCTCCACAGGTGCAGATGGTATCTGAGTGGCTTTTTGGGGTCTGCACTATGCCCACTGTCAGGAGTTAAGCTTAATATTTTAAAAATTGAGATCTTTCTGTATGAGACACTAAATTAACTATCTCTTTGATATATCCTTGAGATAGTTCTACCAAATGTCTTACTTCTGAGTGAATCCTAACAAAACACATTAGATTATCTGGGGTCTAACACTGGGCATTATCTGATTAAAGTTTTGCTGTGGGTGGTTTGGTTCCAGTTTGAAGGAGATTCCCCCTTCTGTTTCTTCAGTGTGTCTAGGGTAAGGTGAAGAATATGCTCCCTGATATGCATTCTTTCCTGCTGCTGTTTCTGACTGTGCATAGTCTGCTTCTCCACAGGGACCAGGCCAGGGTGTTTAGTACATTATGAGAGATTAAACAGATTTCCCTACTGTGAGAGAACAATAATCTTATGATTATTCAGTGGCTGTTTGGTTTTTGTTCTTTTTTGTCCTAAATAGTTTCATGATACTGGAGTTTCATGTATCTTAAACACAGACCCATAAAGTTCAAAACAAGAATCTGGTTTTGTGCAACTTACTGATACAGAAGGATGTCCACTTGTGAAGAAGAAAATACAGAGATTTACTCTATATATTGTGGAGAAATACAGCAGTGCAACATGAAACCCAGCATCAAATTAGGGGAGGAAATCTCAGACACAAACATCAGCCTCATGCTTCACCTTCATGCCTTCCTTAGGTAGTAGCCATTAGATATTCACACATGGGATCTGAGAGCCCACTCTATTATTTTGTTGGAGTAGATGCAAGCATGAGCCTTAGGGACTAAGAGGGACCAAACCTGCTCTAATGATAGGAAGCCATGGAACAAAGGATGGAAAAATGAATTCCTTCATCTTGAGAAAATTTACCACTCCTATCCTTGGGGTGGCTGACCATTAAATTTTGATTGTCCCCCTGATTTTGCTTTTCCACCTACAATTTTGTGCATGTTGTTAAAAAATGGCCATCTGAAAAACCTCAGAAGCACAGCTTTTTCCACGGATCCATGTTCAGCACTGGACCTGCACTGCACACATTCACCAATGGATTACATCTGGTGCCCTCTGCACTCAAGAGGGATGTGCATGGGACAAGGGAGGTAGCACAGCCTGCATGCCTCTTCAGACTGCAGGCTGCTGCTGGAGGATGCTGTTGATCACCACATGAGCTGCAATTGACAGAGTGAGGAGAAAGCCTGTCCCACAAAAGCCCCAGAAGCTATCTGTGTGCTTTCCTCCCTGGGCTTTCCTCCTCGTGCACGAACACACTGCTGCTGTTTCAGCCAATATAACAGGCTCCACTGTTAGACAACTGGGCTCAGTCTGGACCCAGCAGTATCCCTCAGACAGAAAGATGGATTGTGCATGCATGGTGGCAGGTTTGTAATTTAACAGCTCCATTTAAAAAATGTTAAGATGGTGCTTTAATGAGCTGCTAGAACGTCCTCATGATGACTGCAGCAATCAGGAACTGATCTTTGTTTGAAACAGGAAAAATATTTCCCACCAATGTATCAAATCCTGAATATAAACTAGTCAACAGGTGGCGAGATTTATTCTGATGACCCCTCTGTTCCAGTTTGCCCTTCTCAAGATATGGCTAGCACACAAGAAAATCATGGATCCAGGAATCAGCCAAGTCACTCCTCTTACAGAAATTTAAATTTCTCTCCCTACAGTGTAAAAGACATGAGAGGAGGAAGTGCATAATTTGGGTCTTCATCCCAAATCATATGGGGATATTAGGAATTATACTGTAAAATCTTTGGAAACACATGAGCATTTTCTGCAGTAGTCCGCAATGACTAAAAAATTTTTTTTTACCTGACATGCAATATAACACTAATAATATACCTTGTTGATAAGCAAATTATAAAAAAATACGTCCATGCACTGAAATAACAGGGAAAATCATGTTTGTGCATATAGAGTAGACATATGTTGCAATTTATCTCTCTACACTGTTACTGCCGAAATGTACTTATATTTAATCCAGCTCTGATGCACATGACAGGCATTCTGCAGCTGTCAGTGATATGTACTATAAACTCCAAACATCCATTGTAAAACTGTTCTCATTATGAGAAGTAAAATATAGTACCTGAATCTTAACTGAAGTATTAATAATAAAAATGGATTATACACATCTTGTTTGCTGAGGAATTATTCCAGGGATGAGACTGGTTTCTGATTTTGCCTCACTGAATGAACGGCAGAACAGGTATTTGTATTTCTGACCTGAGAGAAAATGTCAGAAACTTTATAAGTTTTATAAGGAGAAATAAAAGGTTCTTTGATATTTTTGTTGCTTTAACTATTAAGTAAAACTCTATTATCTGTGTTATTTCTTAGAAAAAGAAGACTCAGAAAAATTTAATATAATTTATTGAGTAAAATTCTGTAAAAACATAAATTTTTTTACACTTGAACATGATTTTTTTAATGTGTATTATTGGGGCTTTGTTGATAGGGCTGTTAAAGAAAACCCCAACTCTGTGTAATGGTCATACATTTAGATGATGCAGTAGTGTTTAATTTTATAGCAAGATTCAGATGTAGGCTGCTAAAGCTGCTTAGCTTTTATATGTACAGAAAATGTATGAAACATTTTACTTTTCCCTGTGTGGAATTCTGGGCCTCTATCTACATCTCAGCCATTGGCAATGTGTACCAGGCAAGTTCTGTGCACATCCCAGTGCTAGCAACCTGATTTCATAAAATTAAGGAATGATTTGGGGTGGCAGATCCAAAGAAAGATTAAAGATCATCTAGTTCCAACGCCCCCTACCACGGGCAGGGACATCTTCTGCCAGATCAGCTTTGTCAGGGCCCCATCCAACTCTGCCTTGAATATTTCCAGGGATGGGACACCTGCAACCTCTCTAGGCAACTTCTTCCAGTACCTCACCACCCTCAAAGTAAGAAATTTTTTCCCAATAATCTAATCCACAACTACCCTCTTTCAGCTTAAGGCCTTTTTCCTACCACTACATGCTTTGTAGAATGTTCATCTCCAGCTTTCTTATACAGTCTTTTCTTCAGCCTCCCCTTTGAAGAGCCCTCTTGTCTGGACAAAAGTATTGAAAAAGTGTGTTCTACACAGGAATCATGCTGAATCAGGATAAAGAGCATCTTAACTATACAGTTTCAAGGGAAATGTACCCTGAAGCCTTGAAAGTTACCTTGGCAAAGCTTCAAAAGTGAGAAATATAAACCTCCAAAAATGGCATAACAGCAGCTGATTTAAAGGATTTCCTATTGCCCCCCATGAGATCTAAATTCTACTGAATTCAATGGTGACTTTTCTTGTTGTGGAAGGTGTTTCAGACTTCATGTGAACTTAACTTCAAGTGTTGGTCAAATCAGGACCACTTTACCCAGGGTCAGCCAACATGTGATGACTTTCCTTCTGCTCCTTGAAATGGACTGTTTACATCTGAAGGAGCAAAACCGTTGAAAACAGGAGGAAAAAGCATATTTCCAGAGTTCACTGCCTTCCAAATAAGTGAGATGGAGCTGGTAGATTATGGTGGGACCATTTATCTTGTGGCCAGTGCCTCACATGCCAGCTGCAAGCTGGCTGCTGTATCCATGGCAATGGGCAGCTCATCTTCTAACTTTTAGACATACAGAAGAGGAAATTACATTATTTCATACTTGGTGTAATGGCTGTCTGGTTGGACATTCATAGCTAATAAACAATGAGCTTTAGGTCAGGTGTTTCCTGGCAGCTAATGGCCACCTGTACTAAAAGTTGTCAATTGCTGCAGTAATTTATTAAATTATAGAAAATGGTCTTTATGTCAGTCATTATGGCATCAATGCAAAAGTTTTGTTTCAAGTGTAATCAGCTTTATGACACTTACACCACTTCTTAGTGAAAAAGGAAGTTGCCTGGTAAGTAGAGAAGTGCAGTGTACACAGCCAAACTGGTACTGGCAGGGAAAAGACCCAGCTTTTGTGAACTGCCAAACACCAGTGAAAAAAAGAAATAGCATTATCTTCCTTGACAGAAAGCACTACATCCTTTACAACTTGGACTACTTCTGAGGAGCCGTGGGAAGAGAGAAGCACAGGACCCCACTTCAACATTTTACATATGGATTCCACTTCTACAAAACTATGGATAAAGTATGTTTCCTACCAGGATGTGAGACACCATAAAAAAGCAAAAGCTTTCCCTACAGCTAGTGTATAAGGTTGGCAAGAGCACATGTATGAATTTCTACTCAGAAGACATAAAAATGACAAGGGTCATGTAAGTATTCACAGTTGCCAGAAGCACGTGTTTTTGGGTGTACCATTTGTAGTGATAACACCTCATACCCCGAGCATGGTACACAGCAAAAGGAATCTATTTTCAAGTTTTACTTTGTGCCTGATCTTTGCAATCTCTCCCATGCAATCTATAAATGGCAATTGATTTGTGGTGGCAGATCCCAAGTGCACAAATGAGAACTTGTAAAAAAGAAGTGCAGGAAGATGTCTTCTTTCTTCTTCAAACACCTTTCTTCTGCCTTGGTGAGGAAAATGCTGCTCTTAAATTGAGCTGTATACTTCACAGGCACAATGAGGTGTAAGTCTAAGCTCTGACTAACCAGAAGGCTAGAAAAGAGGATCATAACCACCTCTCCAGCAATTTTTAAATCTGTGTGTTGACTGTTGCTGTTGAATTCAGAAATTATGCCTCAAAACCTATGCAGTGTGGACCAGATACTGGAAAGAAAGTACTTCCTGTGACCTCTGTAGCTGTTTGACAATTAGAAGTTGCACAGCTGGCAGAAAAGCCAGGAGTAGCTACTGGGTCTGGCATGTGTCTATGTTACCTGAGCTGAGTGCTGGAGGAGACCCCATCAATTAGGACAGCCAACAATTTTCAGCTGCATCTTCCAAAGAGACATCCAGGCTCACGTGTGCTTGCAAGCAGGAGGAGGAGGAGCAGCAGCAGCAAAGCAGAGCACAGCTGGGCAGATGTGCTGTACAAGGAAATAGAAAGGCAATTCACTTATTTCTCATTTTCCTGGTTCTGTTTTTCCTCAAAAAAGTCCACAGAGATTCTTTTTCACAAATAGAGATAATGCTGATTATTTATGTTAATAAGTAGCTAGTGTCCTCAGGCAACCACCTCAGGCAACCACTGAAGGCCATAGAATTCAATGGAAATTTTATCCCTAACACCATCAGCCTAGAATGCTACCACTTGGCCCTACCTGCATAGCATAATATTCATCATTTACATGCACATGTGGAAGGAAGAAGGAGGATCAGCAGGGGTAAGACTCATGAAGGATGGAGAAGACAATCGTATCAGCACTACTAGTTGACCTCAGGCCTCTTCTCTAGTTCTAATAATTTTTTTATAATTTGAATAAATTCACAAGCTTTCACTTGCATTTTAGCCAAAGGTGAAACAGCAGACAAAACTCTTCCCTCTCTGAGAGTATTGGAGCAGTAAAGGAGGGGTCTTTACTTTTGTATACAGAATGGCAGGTTCAAAAAAAAGACGGATGGTCATGGGAGAAAAAAAGGAGCAGAATAACAAGGTAGCTGTACTGGCTGATGGAAAACAGCAGGTAATTTGAGAAGAATTTCATTACACAGGGCAAATTAAAAGACTGAATTTGCAAATAGAAGCCAATAAAACGACAGTGGTGAAATAATTAGAAAATAAATAAATTAAAAGGCAGAGGTAGATGGAAATAAAATATTGCTTTCATCACCTAATGCAAAATGTGTATTAATTTTTCAGTAACAGGACAAAGGGTGAAAGAACTACGTCGTACCATAATTTTAAATGAATCGGGGATCTCTTGCAGCAAATTCACATACGTATGTATGTATATAATGTATGTGTACATAATGGAAATTTGCTTCTACTATCAGATTTACCCACTTCTGCAGAATTGCTTCAGTGTGTCTAGTCCTTACTAATAGTGTCTCTAATCCTCTGTTTCTGAGGTGAAAAGGGAAAGGTGAACAGCATGTGAATGATACTGTCTTTTAAAGTGTGCTGATGGTCTGAAGAAACACTAGAAAGGTACAAACTAGCTGAATTCTGACATCTGAAGTTAATACTCTGCATCTTATTAGAAATAAGTACAATAAAAATTAAATATAATACCCCATTATTATGAGATTTACTGAATGTATAACTACTAAAAAATTTCTCTATCTGCCACAGTTCTTTGCAAACTCCAGAAGAGTCTTTATGAAGACAGAACAGGCTGCAAGTGGAATGGATTTGATACCTGACTGCTTACCAGACAAAGGCTGGCAATCTTTGTCATTGTGCAAAATAGTGCCTTAGTGTAGATACACCCACTGAAAACTGTGATCTTGAGAAGACAGGGTCACACCTCTCTGCAAACTCACGCTCCTTGTGTCCTTTAGGGTGATGAACCAGATACTTTTGCAGGGAGACTTTAAAATACAGAGAAAACCTATTCAGACATGATAGCTGGTTTTGCTTCCTTCACAAAAAAAGGGACTTAAAAGGTCATCTAATGGAGGTACATGTCATCCCACTGACAAAGAAAATGATTGAAGCAATACAACAGTTATTATGAAAGTATGAGATAACGAAGTGCCAATGGTGTGTAAAAGACTTATGTGCAAGTTATTCAAAGGGTAAATTTTGACTGAAAAAGGAATTATGGAAGGAACATAAATTCTCTGAAGTGGTAACTGGACTTCATGTACCTCTGAACTAAACAAAACTCAGGCCATGCAAAAGTTCTTCTCATGAACATCCTACAAATTAACTTATACAAGGAGAAGAAAAGGAGTTCATCTGCAAAAAAGTAATTCTTGAAGTTGATTCATTAGTGTTTATTCTACATGAAGACAGAGGTGATTGGGCCATCTGTGCTGTACAAATAAAAATCAATTCTAAAGTACATGAATCCTACAGCACCTTTAAAAAAAAAGGGGTTTTTTTATTCTTTGGAGACCAAAACTGGTCTCAAGCTGTATTTCCTAATGAGCATCATGCACTACCTAATGGGCAAAAATGTGAATGAAAATCTGAAAATCCTTCAAGTCACTGTGCAGTGTTTCTAGTAGCAAGAACATCCTTCTTCTCTCACATCACTGATAGCATCAGTTTCACAAAGAAAAGTAAGTAATGAGTCATTTTGAACAGCACCTAATGACAGTACTGGCTTTTATTCTTACTTGTGCCAAAACCCTTTTCACACCAGCCTGGGAGACTAGAGAGTGCTAAAAGCAGCACTTCATCATGTGTTGAGCAACCTTAATGAACATGAAAATCAAACCCATCACTTGAGAGAGGATATAGTAAAGTGTCTGGATGCCAATAACCCTCACAGAGATGCCCCACTCACTGGGAGACAGAAAGAGACTCATCAAAGTAACTAGGAAGAGAAATTATTCCATTAGGCGCAGAAATCAGGAAAAACCACTTCCAAGAAAGGTGGCACTCTGTACTTGGAAGAAAGGAGAGCCTCTCTCCCTTTGCAGTTGCTTTTGCAGTCAGTAAAAGATTGTGGGGAAAAAAATAAAGGAAAGAAGAGGTCTTTTTAAGGTTTGAGCACTGGTCATCTGCAGGACCTACTAACTCTGCAAGATAGTGCATTGAGCAGACAGTGCAGGTAAAGATGACTGGAGAGACAGGAGAGAAGATAAAAGAGAAACAAAGAAGACAAAAGCTGAGAAAATATTACTAGAGTAAAGCCAGAGAGAAGAAAGAACCAAAAGTAAAAGGCAGAAGAATGAAAATTAAAAAAGCCAAACCCATAAACAAATAACCCTACAGACTTAAAACAGATGTCTGTAATAGGAGTTTGGGCTACATTGCAGTACAAATCTGAGCCTAAGAGAAAACAAAAACAAAACACATGGGAATACTTTCTGTTTCAATTCGTCCTTGTTTGTTACATGTCCTGATTTTGCTTTTGAAAAGGGAAACTCTCTGGCTGAGAAAAAGCCTTAAACATTCCTTGATGTTACCACCACTTTCTCATCTCACATTCCCATTATTGGAGTGTTTTCACTTAGACTGTTGATGTTTTCTCTATCATCAAGCAGCTGCATTGAATGCATCACCTGGGTACGGTGGGATCTGGGGCCTGGCACTGGGGAGAAAAGGGTGGTATTGCCACCCAAAATCCACAGGGATCTCAAAAGATTATTTCCCATAATAAAGGCACATAGGTATCATTCATCTCTTGCACTGAAATATTTTGTTTATGCTTTATGCCCAGAGCATAAGGAGACAGTAACCTTGGAATGCTTTATCTTGGCAGTACCCTTCAGGAATGCTTGTCTAACCTGAAGTTCTGCTGTTCCCTGCAGCCTCCACTGAACCAAGACTGGCTCTGGTAATGATTCTACACCCTGCTCCACTGCTTGGCTCTACCTACAGAGGGGAAGTTTAGTTCAGTCCTGCAGGTTTCTCTTCCAGGATGACTGTTCCCAGCCTCTGTCCAGGAAACAGTCCCTGTCTGACCGTGGAAAATGCAGCACAATTCTCCTATGCAGGTTTCCTAGCTGTGGGGGTGGCCCAAGGCCATGATTTTTATTCTGTGTGTAATATTCCCCACACTTGCAAAGGACAAGCTCTTAACAGACCATCTGCCTATGATCTTCTCATGGTCTACCATGCTCCTGGCAATACCATACCTCCCATTACATTTCAGTTTCTTTTCCCTCAGATTCAATAAAGCACTCACATGTGTGATGACAAAATCTTGATACAATATAAAGGGATAGAAATGGCTGCAAGCTAAAGGGGAATTCTACATATTTCTGACATGGTAGAAGCCATTGTTTTGCATAATGCCTACCCAACCCCAAAGTGATGCAGCAGACGGAGAAAGGGAAAACAGGTTGCACGCCTGCAGTGCAAGTGTACTGACAGGCTTTGTTCTGCCAACTACCTAAACGACTTGCCATGCCTCTGTTAGAGTGGTTTCTGAGAGGATGTGAAATTGCAGTTTAGATTGTGATTTATTAATGCTTTTCATGTCAGAAGAATGTGCTGAAGCACAAGTTTATCTGCAGGTAGCAGCCCTTAGGTTATAAAATAATTATTCTGTAAAAGGCAAAATATTTATCATTTGGATGTAGAAAACAAAGAGTACACCTTGATTGGAATCTTCTAGTAAGAAGCACCTTAAAAAATTACATTATTTGTGTAATCATGTTATTTGCCATACTGTGACTTTAAAACAAAGAAAATTCAAATACAATTTTCTCTGCTTTATTTGCTTCCAAATTAATTTCACCAGTTGCTATTTTATGACTTCATAATCTCAGCCTTCACACCAGCACTTATGAGACTGCGGTATCTAAATTTTGTTGGTGCTTACTTAGGATCAGATCTAGGAACTTAGCGAACAAGGTGTTGAGTACCTGCAAACATGTGCTTCTTAAGGACAGTCCTGGGAGCGCTGAACCTGAACAGTCAGAACTCAATCCTGCTTTCAGTTCCACTAGGAATCCTAGGCTGGATTTGAAGAAATAACATTTTTGAAATGTGCAGATTTGGTTTACTATCAAAACCAGATTTTTTTGTAAAGTATGCATGATCCATGGATTTCTACCTTTTTCACTGCAGGCCATACATTTAAAAAAAAATGTTTACAGTATTTCCTATTACAAATCAATAATTACTTCAGCAAACTTTTTTATTTCAAAGACAGATAAAAGATTAGTGAGCGACAAAACTGTGTGAAACAAGCTAAGATTCAGACTTTACAGTATAGTGGCCTAACATACTAATATACTGTTGGTTTATACCTGAAAGACTTTGTAGCCATGCATATAAAACAAGTCCAGTTTAAAGCTGTGAAGATCTAACTAGCCAAGAGTCAAGCTGTTTTACAATTGTCTTGCTAAATATTTTCTGAAAAACACTCCACCCATTTCAAATCTAGACAAGTTTATGTATGGCTAACTTGGGCAAGAAGAAAATGGTTTTATCCCACCTTGAATTTCTGCTTCCCAGGAACCCCAG